ACTATTCTGTTAATTCCCACCCAGGTGCTAAAGGTACAAGGCTGAAACCCATGCAGTAATAGAAAAATAAGAATACAAAGTAACAATTTTCCTTCTTTTTCAGTATCATGTCAGAGTTTATCATATAAGGAGTAGTGTCCTTGAAGTTACTAATTTTACAAGAAATGTTTCACCCCTCAAAAACAAATAATCCTAACCACTGCCTCAAAGGAACTCTGACTAGTAGGGGCGATAGGCATGTAAACAAATAATTATAGCATAGTGCAATAATAGGGTACAATAACAGAAGTGTAAGAGAACAAGTGGTCTATTCTGTGGGGGGTTGTGAGGGGCTGGTTTAGACAGGCGTCTGAAGGAAGTGATGATGCAGTCCAGGATTTTGAAGTATGAATAGAAGATTTCTAGGAGGAAGGAAAGTGAATTCACAGAGACCAGGATGTACACTTACATGGAGGTATGAAAAAATGGTAAGTATGAGAAACTAGAAATTGTTCATTATTGCTGGGTAGCAAGTGGAGGTGGTTAGAAATGAGCCTAAGGAGGTATACAAGGCCATTCTGTTAAAGATACAGACTAGTGCTTCTCAAACTGTGGTTAAGGACCAATTGTTAAAATGTTTCCAATTATTGTCCACTATTTTTATAAAATACACTAAAAGTGAATTATTCAAAAAATGAAAAGGCGCAGTGGCTCATACCTGTAATCCTAGCACTCTGGGAGGCTGAGGAAGAAGGATCGCTTGAACTCAGGAGTTCAAGACCAGCCTGACCAAGAGTGAGAACCTATCTCTACTAAAAATAAAAAAAATTAGCTGGGCACAGTGGCGCGTTCCTGTAGTCCCAGCTACCCGGGAGGCTGAGGCAGGAGGATCCCTTGAGCCCAGGAGTTTGAGGTTGCTGTGAGCTAGGCTGATGCCACGGCACTCTAGCCCAGGCAACAGAGTGAAACTCCGTCTCAAAAAAAAAAAAAAATGTTCAGAAGGTAAAATCAATAGGACTCGATGGATTGACGAAGGGGTTGAGGGGAGAGAACAAGGTCGTAGGCTGACTCCCAGGCTTCTAGCTTGGGTGACTGAGTATATGGGATGGAGTGCTCCTTCTCAAAACTCTGGAATTGTCTTCATCAAATATTCACAATATGCCATTCTTTATCCACCATTCCTAAATTCAAAAAATTCTGCAAACTGAAAGTTTTTTCATAACTTATTTGGCAATAAAACCTAATCTTACCTGAATTTATTTTGTGGCAGAACCTGATCTAAACTTACATGAGGTTATTTATAATTTTCATTTGTTCCTCTTTAATTTATCCCAGTATAAATATTCATATAAGTCATTGCAGAGATATTAATTTGTTTGATTATTGAGTGCTGTCCAGATGCCTTTGGGATTGTTGCCTTATATTTTGTATATGCACCATACTATAATAACTATCGAAAATCCAAAAAATTTTGGAACACATTTACCATCCAGATTTCCCGCCCCATTTACTCATCAGTCTTGGCCTGAGTTCTTTTGGCTATTTGCATAAACCAGATCCACCTGCAGATAATGAATATTCATTGCATTGTGTGCTATAGACTCTGAAGGAGATTCTCAAAGTGTTTCGAGCAAGCAGTGTCCTCATTATTAAAACAAGGCTAAAAGCTTCTTGAACTGACTTTCTCAAAGTGACAGCACTCATTTGGATGATAAGTTGAGATGTGTTTATGGACAACCAGTCTCATTACGGTACATCTTGTTTACAGATTTTAATAGTGGTCAGTGATATTCTGGAATTAGTTCCCAAACCTGAAATTATTTTCTCTGGTTTTGCCTTTAGTCAAAACCAAAGAGTAAGCTCTGAGTGGTCAGAATGGGGCCTGGAAGAAAAAATGAAGTATGTGTGTTTATATGTGTGTATATGTACATATACGTAAATAATATACATTTGTGTGTATGTATATATTAGTAGACTTTATTTAGAGATAGAGTCTCGTTCTGTTGCCCAGGCTACAGTGCAGTGGTGTCATCATAGCTCACTGAAACCACATACTCTTGGGTTCAAGCGATCCTCCTGTCTCAGCCTTCCAAGTAGCTGGGACTACAGGTGTATGCCACCACCTCTGGCTAAATTTTCTATTTTTTGTAGAGACAGGCTCTTGCTTTTGCTCAGGCTGGTCTTGAACTCCTGGCCTCAAGCAGTCTTCCCGCCTTGACCTCCCAGAGTGCTAAGATTACAGGTGTGAGCCACCGAGCCCTGCCAATTTTTTAAAACAGTTTTAGATTTACAGAAAACTTGAAATGATATTACAGAGAGTTCTTATATACCCCACATCCAATTTCCCCTACTATTACATTAGTATGGTACATTTGCCACCATTAATGAACCAGTATTGATACATTAGGAGTAATTAAAGTCGAAATTAATTCAGATTAATTTATTCAGCTTTCCTTAGTTTTGTTCTAAAACCTAATTTTTTTTTCTGTTCCAGGATCCCACCCACAATACCACATTATATTTAGTTCTCATGTCTCCTTAGGCTCCTCTTGGCTGTGACAATTCCTCAGACTTTCCTTGTTTTTGATGACCTTGACAGTTCTGAGGAGTACTGATCAGGTATTTAGCAGGATGCCTCGCTATTGAAATTAAAAAAAATTCGTGAGTGTAATAGGACTCTATTGGAATTTGTCTAATGTTTTTCTCATGATTAGTCTGGTGTTATGGGTTTGGGGAAGGAAGACCACAGAGGTAAACATGCCATTTTTTTTTTTTTTTTTTGAGACAGAGTCTCACTCTGTTGCCCAGGCCAGAGTGCCGTGGCCTCAGCCTAGCTCACAGCAACCTCAAACTCCTGGGCTCAAGCGATCCTACTGTCTCAGCCTCCCGAGTAGCTGGGACCACAGGCACGCGCCACCATGCCCGGCTAATTTTTTCTACATATATTTTTAGCTGTCCAATTAATTTCTTTCCAATTTTTGGTAGAGACGGGGTCTCGCTCTTGCTCAGGCTGGTCTCGAACTCCTGAGCTCAGAACGATCCGCCCGCCTCGGCCTCCCAGAGTGCTAGGATTACAGGCGTGAGCCACCGCGCCCGGCCTAAACATGCCATTTTTATCACATGATTTCAGAGGTACATGGCATCAATGTGATTTATTGCTATTGATGCTGACCTACCTAGGTCAGCCGAGGGAATATGTGTGTGACACATAGGATGGCCATTGTGGCACAGTTGGCTGAGACTTTTCTTTCTGAGGATGATATTTCTTCTCTTGCCCATGGCTCAGCCCCATTTTAACTTTTTAAAAATTTCTTGTTTTGAAAGCTTGAACCTTGCCCAAAAGTTACCCACTTCCTTGAATTTCTCAACTCACTTGGCTCCATCATTTCTAGTCTTCCTACCCCTCACCATCAGATCCTCTTAAAAAAAGATGCTTCAATTTCTACTAACAGTTTCTGAACGCCTGCTATGTGCCAGGCACTCTGCTAGGCCCTCACTGTGTTAAATCATTCAGTGGGAAGCAGCTTAATACACAGAAACAACTCAGGCTTTGGGGTCAGTAGGATTTAGGTTGGGACAGCAGCCCAGAAGAACAAACTATGAAATCTTGGCCAAATTCCTTTGACTGTCTTCACCTTGGCTGCTTTTTGTTTTTTTGAGACAGGATCTAGCTCTGTTGCCTGCGCTAGAGTGCACTGGTGTCATCCATAGCTCACTGCAACCTCAAACTCTTGGGCTCAAGTGATCCTCCTGCCTCATCTTCTTTAGAAGCTGAGACCAGAGGCATGCATCACCACACCTGACTAATTTTTGTATTTTATGTAGAGACATTGTCTCCCTGTGTTGTTCAGGTTGGCCTTGCTCTCCCTGTGTTGTTCAGGCTGGCCTCGGACTCCTGGCCTCAGGCAATCCTCCCACCCGGTCTTCCAAAGTGCTAGGATTACAGTCATGAGCTACCACACCCAGCCTGCCTTGGCTTCTTTTTTTTTTTGAGACAGCGTCTCACTCTGTTGCCCAGACTGGAGTGTCATGGTGTCAGCCTAGCTCACAGCAACCTCAAACTCCTGGGCTTAAGTAATTCTTCTGCCTCAGCCTCCCAAGTAGCTGGGACTACAGGTATGCACCACCATGCCCAGCTAATTTTTTCTATATTTTTAGTTGTCCAGCTAATTTCTTTCTATTTTTAGTAGAGACGGGGTCTCGCTCTTGCTCAGGCTGGTCTCTGAACTCCTGAGCTCAAAGGATCCACTGGCCTCGGGTCTCCCAAAGTGCTAGGATTACAGGCGTGAGCCACCGCGCCTCACCCTGCCTTGGCTTATTAAATGGAGAGAATTATGTTTGTCTCACGAGATGATGTGAGGAATAAAGAAATCTTCTCTTAATCCTCACATTCATTCATTTTGTTTCCCAAAATAAAAATCCCTATGACTACATTTTTAAACGCTAATTTTCATGCCTATAAACACTGACAACTTTTTTGCGACTTCTGTTTTAAATCCTTTAGGACTTTGGAGGACCACACTTTGTCGATCGTTTTGCACTAAAAAATAGTCCCGTCAGGACCCTATTCATAAAGATATCTCAATTATAGGCTTCCCATAACAGAAAGATCGTGGTACAAGGGGAAGAAAGAAGACCAAAGGAACTTGAGACAGTTTAAATGAAAATACCAAGTTCGGTCCAGGAGGCCTCGCCCATTGTGATTTTCTATTGGTTGGGCTTACCATCAATCGCACCAGTTGTAAATAAACTGGAGACGGAAGCATGTTGTTAAGGGGTGGGACCTTCCTGTCGCCATTGCAGGGTGAGAACCGATTTCTAATAGGCTGAAAACTGCTTCTCCCGCCCTCTGTCATCGGTTGCTAAGGGGCGGAACTCTTAGGGTCCGTGGAGGGCTGCTCGAAGCCTCGCCCGTCGGATTGGTTGGTAGGGGTGTGTCTTGTAGCGGATAGGCTGTTGGCGTTGCCTGTTTGGGGTTAATTGCCGGGGGGAGGCACGTGAGGAGGAGGCGACGTGAGGCAACCATGGCGGGAGGAATGAAAGTGGCGGTCTCGCCAGCAGTTGGTTCCGGGTCCTGGGGCTGGGGCGCTGGGGGCAGTGGGGCAATACGGCTGCTCTTGGTCTTCTCCGGCTACTTTGTCTGCGGCTCAGGTACCGCCCGGGCAGCAGCTGCCAAGGGGGCGGGTGCCGAGGGGGTTATTTTTGGAAAAGTGGAGATGGTCCGGAGGGCGCGTGCGGTTATTCTGCCTGGGGGCGGTGGCTCTGCTGAGGGCCGCAGGCGTGGTGCGGAGGAAGAAGTTTCGTCGGGTAGTGGGCTTCGAGATTGAGGGGTGAAGGCCCTGGGGCGGGCTGGGGGAGCTCCGCAGCTCGGAGTGGGGAGGAGCCTAGAGCATTTTGGCCGAGACAGGAAGGGAGGCCTAGACTGACTGAGAAGCGGTCCTGGGGGCTGCGTCGCGCTGCAGAGGCCTCCTGAAGTTTCTAGGTTAAAAGGGAAGAGACTGAGGGACCATTCCAGGCAGACGGAGCTGCCGCGGGAAAGGGAGCATCCCATTCATTGAGCAATTTAGCAAACACTTGAGCGTATGCTCTGTCAGCATGGGTGGCAGAACAGATAATTATAGTTCATTGAACTGTAGTGATCTCTAATATCTTATGCTCTTGGGAGACCTTGGCCTCTAACAGCCCTGTAGAACGGACCTGGAGTCATTATATCCCAGTATCCAAAGATGATACGTGTGCCATTTACCATCAAATAGGTTTCTTTTGGAAATTTATTCGTTTTTCCAAGCAAACTTATCTGATACCTCCTGCTGGATAATCAGCTTTGGTCTGGAAAGGAAACTCTTTTCCTTTTCTGCTCCAAGTCAGAAAACTTAAGAGTGTGTTTGTAAAAAATCTCCTTCTACCCCCTTGTCGTTAAATTCACAACAGAAAAATAAGTGAGGTTTCCAAGCTTCCACTGGAGGGAGTTGAAACTCAAGAAAATAAAGATAATCATATCTTGTAAACACACATTATGCTCTCTCACCTCTCCCTTTGGTTCCTGCCTATCTCGTGCTGTCACTTATGATCATCCTTAGTTGCAGCTTTAAGGTGGCCTCAGCATCTATAGATCTAGTTTCAAAGTGCAGCATCCTTCTCAAAATGGATTTTTTAGGGAGAGGGAAGGTTCTTTCCACAGGGCCTAGAATAACATTAGAATGGCTATTACCGGAATGAACTTCTAAAAAATGAGGTAGTGGGTTGTGGGGATAAAACAAGAAAATATACGCAGAAATGCTCTTACGTAGTAAGCAATCAGCGGTCTCTTTCTCTTCTAAGTTTCTTTAATGAGGAGAAGAACAGGGACTTCTTGGCTTGGAGAATAGTAAACTCTGGCTGATGTTTGTTATGTACAGCCTGATAGATTATGTGGGTGGCAGCTACAAAGAGCAATCATGTAATAGAGAAGAACTTTCTAAAAAGTCAGAAGTACCCAAAGATAGAATGGAATACTTCAAAAGGTAGAGAGTTCCTTCTCACTGGAAGTTTTTTGAAAAATTTTATTATTAAAAATAATGCATGTTTGTTTTAGACTATTTGGCAAGTACAATTAAGTGTGAAGAAGTAGGCAGAAACCTCGCTTCCATTCCGAGGCAGTCCATTTTAGCACACTTTCTTCTGTTTCTTCCCACGTGTTTTTAATTAAAAAATTTTTTTTGATTTGATAATACAATATTCATATCCAGTCGGTAATCTAGATCTCTTTCCTGGAGGCCGCCAATTGTAAGATAGTTTTCTCATTTGATTTTGTAGCACAATAATTTTCCTAAGTTATTTAAAATTCTTCATAAATGTTATTTTACTTGTATTACATTCCATTGTATGGACATTTATTTAATTTTTCTGGATCAAACATTTGGTTGGATATTTGTGGTTTTTCTAGTTTTCCATTGTAAATTTGTGAACATCTTTGTGTATAGATTTTTTTTTTTGAGACAGAGTCTCACTGTGTTGCC